CTCGTTTTGGAACGCGGGATTTGGCTCGTTTTAGATCGCGGGGAGATTAGGCTCGTCTTGGAACGCGTGTTTTTTTCTTCATTTGTTTCTTTGGCATTTGCTCTTCTATCGTTTTAAACAAGTTTTTTTTTAATTATATTTTTTATATTCTTCCGACATGTGGTTTCCAGTTTTCATGTGACATTTTCTTGTTCTTGGTCGGTGTTTTATTTTGTGTGGTAGTTCGAACGGTGTTTTATTTTTTTTTAAAATAGTCTTTTAAGAATCTTTTCTGGTTCTTCCGACATGTGGTTTCCTTTTTTTGTTATTCTTGGTCCGTGTTTTTTCTTGTGTGGTAGTCCGAGCGGTGGGTTTTGAAGTGATTCTTTTGACATGTGGTTTCTATGTTGTCTTCTTATTCTGGTTCGTTTTTACCTTTTTTTGTGTATTTTTCTGGTAGTCTGAGTGGTTGTTTTTTTTTCCAGTTTTTTGCTTTTTTGGTTCTTGTGATATGCGGCGTCCATGTCTTTTTTCTTGTTCTGGGTCAGTGTTTGTTTGTTTGTTTTTCTCGTGGTAGTCCGAGCGGTGGGTTTTCAAGGTTTTTGTTTTGGTTCTTGTGATATAAGATATGCGGTTGACAAAAGAATATGTATATATATAAAACTCAAAAGACCAACCGTTCGGACTACACGAAAAGAACATGAAAAGGAACCACCGACCCAGAACAAGCAAAAAAAATTGAAACCGCAGCATATCAGAAGAACAAAAGCAATACAACGCAGCCTACCTTTTGTGAGCCACGTGAGGGTAAGATTCAGATAAGAAAGGACCCCATTTGGGGGTAATAGGAACAAGAGCCCTAGTAGCTTCTTGTTCCTAGTAGTAAGGCCAGGAGCCCCTAGTAGCGTCCTTGCTCCTAGTCCTAGTAGCGATGCCCTTTGCTCCTAGTAGCTTCTTGTTCCTAGTCATGCAAAGGTAGCATACCTTTTGTGACCACCCCGAAGGGACAATTTAGAGGGAGGAAGCAGCCGTTCCAACCTAGCAGACCTTTTTCTGAGCCATCGGCCATCCCTGGGTAAAATCTAGAGGAGGAAGTTCCAGGAAGGAGTCATGCAAACATAGCACCCCTTTTGTGAACCGTCCGAGGGTTAAACTTTAGAGAAGGGAGGCAGTTTTTTCAATGTCGCATACCTTTGTGAGCCTCCCGAGGGTGAAATGTAGAGAAGGATCCATGCAAACGTAACCTTTTGTGTTCCCCTGAAGGTAATTTTAGAGAAGGCAGACATGGAGAGACACCGTATTTTAGAGTCTGTTCCAAATTGATCCTAACCATGCCTTCCAAGATGAGCCTAAACGGACACAACTCGATGCGTTCCAAAATGATCCTCCTGCCGAATACTTTGACCATTTCGCATTTGTAACTTTCTCCGCCAAACTTTCCGTTTGTATGACTTTTGGATTAAGATCCGACGTGTACAAATTTGCACAATCGCAGTCTGATCACGTCCAATGAGTCCGTCATTTTACAAGTTATTTTTACAAAAACGTAGTACACACGAGAGATTGGCACTCTTCTGCCTAGGGCGATGTTCCAGCTTATTGAAGTCATGGAGCGCCTTCAGCAGCTGCTATCCTTGCTGGATGTGTTGCACAAGTCTGGATGTAACAGCCTTGGGAACATAGGGGAACATACACTGCCACAGTAGGGTGGATACTGTAAGGGTAGTTTCACTCCAGAGAAGGTCCATTCAAGACGCAATCTATTTATCATCGATCATCATACAAATGTACAATACATGTAATGTATATATTATGTAATATGATATTGCCCTCCAAGAAGAAACTTGCAAAGGCAAGGAACCTCCATGAGGTTGTAGGTTCCACAAGAATTTGCACGAAGATCCTGCAGAATAGAAAGACATGTATAGCTGAGGTCTTCAGGCAGTCCTGCAGAATCCTTTGCTACAAGAGCCAAAGTTGGGGCTTAGCGAAGTCGGAATTGAGAGTCAGTCAGCTTTCGTATTGAAGATATTGAACTTGGGCACTTCGCCACCCGACCCATGCTCTTCTTATCATTTTGTTTTTGGTTGTGGTGCAATTGGCAGCATGGTTAAACTGTTGCTGAAAGCACTACTCACCATCAAGGACACTATTAGGTGGAGGCCATCGCAAGTAGGTTGGAGGCCATCGCTACTAGTAACAAGAAGCTACTAGTAGCAAGGACTTACCATCAAATTAGGAACTTCACAAGTCAGAGAACTTCTTCAATTACCTTGCCTTTTCAGACACTGAATGCATGCAAGTGCTTGAATCGCCCGTCCTGCAACGGAAAACACACGTGTATGTCGACATCATTTGTTGTACTATAGCATCTTATATATAGTCTTTGGCCAATGCTGTCGCGGACAAACCAGTTTACAACTCTGAGGCCAGGTTGCACATTGGAGGCGTACAGATTCAGCAGCGCTGTACTGTCCTGATGAAAGCATCCTCAGGAATTACTTCATTGCCAGGAAACTTGACGCCCATGCGATAAAGCTGGAGCAGATTTAGATTTCAACAGACCATTATTTAAAGGCTTATGCCTAACAGCCGGGCGCCGGCCCACTTGGGTCTGTGTAGGGCTGGGTCGGGTGCACGTTAAGCTATCGGGGGCGTACTGGGCCCTGGGTGGTGCCAAGGTGGGAAACTGGTCCGCGTCGGAGATGGGGGCCCTATATTGAGCAAAGTTAAGCTATCTGGTGCGCATCTTGGCCCTAGGTTGGGCCAAGTTGGGCCCATGTGATCTATGTTGGGCACATCTTGGGCCCATGTTGAGCCTATGTTGAGCCTATGTCGGCCTATGTTAGGCCTATGTTGGCCTATGTTTGCCCAGGTTGGGCCTATGTTGGGCCTATGTTGGCCCCATGTTGGCCCTATGTTGAGCCATCTTGGAGGCTATGTTGGGCATACGTTGGGGATATGTTGGCTATCTTGGGCCTATGTTGAGGATATGTTAGGAAATGTAAGTCGTCTGGAGGGCCTCTACCCACAAAATGTTGATTAAGCCTGTCCGCCCGGCGCGCATTACCGACACCACCCTTGAAAAACACAGCATTTTTGCATTTTGCCCTTTTCCCCCCGTCGTACTTCGATATGCGCAATAAACCCTGTAAAACACAGTGTTTTTTATACCTCACACGCACGATACACTGTAAATTACAGGGGCTTCAGTGACCCGGTGGTCCCCCCGTTTTGGGACCGAGGGTCGGCGGCAGCCGGCGCGACCGTCTATAACCTTCGGTTACCACCGAAGGCCTCCGGCAAGGACGTGGCCGGCGCCCGGATTTAAAGGCTTACGCCTGACAGCCGGGCGCCGGCGCACTTGGGTAAGAGAGTTCTGGGTCGAGGTGACGGTAGGTGTCGCTCGCGGTGTTTGCCGGGTGTGGTGTCGGTGAGGGACCCTCCATGTTTCCATGGAGTCTTCCACGGAGAAGACGGGGGCCGGGGTTTGGGGCACCCCGGCAGCACCCGTCATGGAGCTCGATGCATGCTGGGAGGCGGCAGCTGTCAGCTGGCAACAAGAGCGTCGCTCATGCCAGCCAGCCACAGCCCTGGTGAGGACAGGCAGAAGTCATTCCACCCTCAAGGACATTGTCTGCAAGTTGATGCGCCAGCGAGGCCGGCGGGGGTGGAGAGGTTGGGGGTCGAGGCGTCGACGCCGTAAGTTGAAGACGCAGGGTGGGTGCCGAACTGTTAGAGCGATAGGACGAAGCTGGGAGACCGCTAGCGTTAGAGAGCAAGAGCAACCAAGCACACTCGACCTTTTTTGTTTGCCTGTCGGTCTCAGCCATGGCACAGCAGCAGATGTTTGCTAATCGTGGTCAACCACTTGTCCCTCCCGAGGTACTCGAAGAACTAGTTCCGTACTTTGAAACAGTTTTATGACCCAGCCCCGCAGAGAAATGGCCAGCAGACTAGCGTGGTGTCAGAGATCCCGACGCAGAGTTCTGCCAGACAAGACCTGGAAGCCAGTGGCTACTTGGAGGATCAGCCTGCTTACTAATTAAGTAGGTGCGGCGAGTAAAGCAGTTACGCGAGAACTTACTATGTTGCGTAATTGCGTATTATGTTTGTTTTTCCTTGGATAAGTATACTTAGTATATTCTTTATGTTTGTTAAGTGTGAAACATAGTTATGTTGAAGTTACTAAGTAGATAGATTTTTGGCTATCTACTTAGTATGTGAGGTATGTAGTTGGCTCAAAGAGGTATGAACATAGCAAACTTATGCATGCACTTAGCTATGTGGCTGATGTGACTTAAGTCACTTGCCCATAAGCTTGCTAAGTGGACATGTGCCACTTAGCGTAAGTGGCACATGTGCACTTGTTGAACTTATACCTATGTGGCACTTAGACGACTTACAGCACTTAGGTGGCCGAGAAAAAGGATATGGATCCAATATTTTTATTTATTTTTGTAAATTAGTTGACGGGCGTCGTTTGAGAAAAATCAAAGCTGCTTCTGTTCAAACCATGCAGGCAGTGCCACGTTGAACGTGCTCATCATATTTGGTGTTCGCTGTTTGAACAAGCCACAATATATATATATATAGTTGGTTGCGGTCAGAAATTTGTTCGCCCATTGGCCGAATTTGGGGGAACAAAACAGAAGGGGATGGGATGACTTGACTCACCACAGTTATAGGAGCCCTTCATCATAGATTTTCCTTACCACACAAGGAATCATGCAAGTGCTGTTCCGTTTAACATGGAGCTTGCATGCAAGCACACTTTGTTCATTCAAAGGAAATATGTGAACCCATTTTTTGGTTATTCATGTTGTGATCGAGGGTCTCTATAGAGTGTGTCTTCGTAAGCTCTTTTCTGAGGAGGGTATATAGTTTATCAATCCTTTCTCCCAAAACGTGAACAAACCGTTCGACTGTCGATGGAAGCCGTTGCCAAAACGTGGAAGCGGTCCGACCGAGGCATAGGAATCTCCGATGGAGTCATCCATAGCAGAAATTCTTGAGATTTATTGTCTATTTTGAATGTTGGCAGTGGCTCAAATTTTGAGGGTTTATTTACCCGCATGTCAGCAGGGAGACTCAGATCAAATCGAGTCGTGTGTTGTTGACCTGGTGATGTGAGTTTCATGGGTGTTTTCATGTAGACGCCGAACTTGCCATGACATGATGATGGTGATGAGGGAGTGATGATCATGAGCTGGAGATGCATGCAGTTGTTTTGGGCACACGTGTTTTGCATGGACTTTTGATAATATGTAAACTGTAAAACCCAACATCAACATGATATAGAAACAGCAGAAACTTGCCATAAACATGCCACCCCTATATAAGCCACCATGTCTTCATGTCGCATGCTCCAGCCCACCGCTTTGCCGGCCCAGGTGTCACTGCAATTCTTCGACCCAGCCTTTTCTTCAAGCAGGCGTGGAAAAGGGAGGGTTGCAGGTGGATAGATGGTCTTAAGCTGACTCTGCATCAGTTCAACATTTTTTGTTTGAGTGATTCTTCTATTCTGACTGCTCACAGTTTGTGATTGTCCGTGACATTTTTCCTACTATAGTAGTATGGTTTCTGGATGCTTTTCGTTTCATCAGCTGCACTGCACATGTGACGTTGCATGCCTACAGGGACGCCACGTGTGGTCATGTCCATTTATGTCGTGTGGGTGCGTGGCATTGCTCGCACTCTGCAACTTGCGGGTATCCTCGCAGTTGCCCATCAAGTATCCATGGCGTGCACAGTGACATCATGACATCTTTGGTTCGCCACGTTCATGACAATTTTCGCACGCGTATGCATGTCAGAAAATGTTTTCCTAGATTGTTCATATGCGTCTGTGTAGTGCGTATAGTCTTTGGCATGGCTCCCACGATTGATGCTGCGTTGAAACAGAAGATCTGCACTTTGCTGAAGGATGCGCAGAGTGGCCAGGGTCTTTTAAAGAACGTGAATCAAATCTATGGGCTGTTGCGTTCTCATGGTCTCATGTGGCAGTCCCTTCTCCATTGCCGTTTTCTGGGAGTTCACGAAAGCAATCGGGATGGGTTAGGCATATCGCCTGACCATGCGCATAAGCTTTGCGTGGATATTTATGAGTTCGGCTTTGTCGAGGGAGAGTCGCGTAGGATGGCTGTTGAACTTCATGGTGCAAATGGTGAAGCCACAAAAGAATACAACGAAAAGTTGGTGAACCAGTCCAACAACTTGCTACTTCATAGCAAGTGGATAACATTTGTTTGTTGGCCCCATCCTTTTCCATGATGGTGTTTATTGTATTCATTTCCATAGTTTTTCATGATGCTCACACATCGCCATATATAGTACCAACTTGTCAATTCATTAAAGCAAATGTATGAGGTTACCGCCTTTGAGGGACACACTCCGCTATGCGACAATTGCTGGATCACACTCCAACCAAGTTCTTCGTAGCTGGTACTATGGCATAGAGCATGAAAATCCAAACATCACAGTGAATGGCAGATTGAGCATGGAGGTGTTGGAGAGAAACGATCTCGCGTACCATCGAGCAGTGAAGGATGGATGCATGTACGACGTTGTTGCCAGCTGCGTCGTGGATGAATTCCCAGAGTTTTGTTCACTGTCCCAGTCCGCAGCAAATGCTGCAAACCAAGTGGCGCGACCTGAAGCAGAATTGCAGATCTGCTGCAAAATGCTTGGTTTCATCAAAAACCAAGTTGGTGATCAGCCAACGCCATATCAAGACATTGCTCCCCAGATTTTGCGAAGCAAGCCTCCACGGCCAGAATGCATTCCGCATCTCTACAACTTCATGATCCGGTGTGGAGGAGGGAAGAGTGCGCATCTCTTTCAAAACACCGAATCATTTGTGAAGTCATACGGCCATAGTGGAAGGTCCTTTGGTGTGAAAGCCTGGGACAACCTTGGTTTGGATGTCCGCCAGAAGGGTATGGAGCAGTGTGTGCTTTGGCGACATGCCATGCTGAAAGCAATGTATTGTCACCAAGAGGGATTGGTCACCCACGCCGATATCAAGAAGAGCTTGCAGCAGAGGGATCTTTTCGCCAAGGTCATGCAATTCGAGGTACTGCACCAAGATGTCAGGAAGTTTGGTGAGAGCCTGACAGACTTGTCAGCGCACCAGCGTTTGATGGGCTTGGGTATCTTCGAGGTGGTTTCGGTGATTGCAATCTTGGGCAAGAAGCCGAAGGAGAGCGTGCATCCCTTTGAGCCTTGCAATGACACGACCGAAGCGGCCTTCCAGTGCGCGCAGTTCTGGCGCAAGTTCTCAGAGGATCATAGGAACTCTCCTTGGGACCCAGTGGCCGCTGCGACAACTGCACCATCTTCTTCATCAGCTGCACCGGCAGGCATGAAAAGCAGGACCATCGTAAATGTATGGTCGTGAGCATATCATTGAATGGCTTTGATGGATCTCATGTGTTTCTGTTTTGCGAACTATATCATGTTTGACAACGGTTGGTTCCTCATGCATCTCTTCTCATCCATGCAATGATGTCGTATGCCGCTGTATACTCATCACACCCTAAACCAATGTGACCAGGATTAGGGACTACACTGATGATGGTCGACTCATTTCCAATGCCATGGTCCTTGATGCAGGGTTTGAGAAAGGATCCACTATCGTAAGGAAGTCCGATGGTACGCAAGCCACAATCAAAGACATGACCGCAAAGAAGGTTGTTGTGACATGCTTGGATGATGGAACGGATTACAATCTTGATGTGGATAAACTTATCGGTGGTGATTGGAAGCATCAACCAAAAGCAAAGGTGCAGGAACCAGTGAAGGATCCCCATGCATGGAAAGATCTCATGAACGTGAGTGTAATCAAAGCTACTGTCGTTCAACGGTTGCAACGCGCATTGAATCAGCACCGGGATCAAAACAAGAACTTGGAACTCTTTCAGAAGCCAAAGGGGGTGACTGCTGCAGCAGACATCGCCAAGGACAAATGCGTGTTGATTCCTTTGACAAACAAGGTTGAGGTTGTGAAAAAATCAGAGGCCAAGGCACCAACAGCATCGGCTATCCAATTGGAAGTTGAAGAGCATGATGGGTAGCTTGCAACACATGCACTGTTTTGGTTTTTTGGGTTTGTTCACTGGAATCTTTGTTCCACGTTCATGTACAACCAACTGACCCATTGCGATTGCTTAGGCAAGAGTTCAATGTTACTTTGCAGCCTCCCGGAGTTCATGCACCATTTTGGCTGATGAAGGTCACGAGTGAGCGAGATGATGCGAACATGTTTTTGGTGAAGCACGATAAAATTGTGGTTGCCAGGAACCCTGGCAAAATTGAGGCTGGGGAAAGCCTCATTTTGTATCGTCCTGAGATTGCTAAGAAGGCGCCCGAGCCCTTAGAGCTTGCATCTTTGCACCCTGTCAAGCGAATGAAGAAGAGCACATCATAAGCCTTCACGCGTCAATAATGCACAGTGCTGTGTAAAGTCATGCGGGACATTCTTTGTCCAAACGTTTTGACTATATAGATGCCGCTGGGTAAAACCAAGCATGCGGATCTGAGCGCATGCAGGAAAAGAAGAAGGAAAACATGATCTTCTACATTAAATATACTCAATGGCTCGTCATGTCCAAATACACATGCACTTTGGGTAGTTGAGACGAAACGTCGTATCAGTTCAAACGTGTCACCATGCACTGCGCTGTTCACAACGGAAAGTTGCCAAGTTCAGACTAAAACAGGAGAAACAGTATCTGGAAATCATATCACGCGTCGGCAAGTCGCGAGCTGATCAAGCCTTGCTGTTGTGTATCCCGTATACTTGTTGTAGAAACAACATGGAGAGCCCACAATACGTGTACGATTACGTGATCATGGATTTGGGTCAGACGCTGCAGACAGTGCAACTGCCCAGCATGGGTTCGTCACTATGGCGGGTGCTGGCATCTAAGCAAAGTCAGCGGATCGAGGAGAGGGACCATATGGTGATATATATCACCCGCATGGGCTCGTCATTGCCATACAAATTCGTTGAAGAAAACGAGAACCTCCTCAAATACACCAGAAGGAATCAGAGTGATTTGTTCATCCGGAAGACTCCCAAGTCCAGCGTGGTAACTTTCCATGATCAGATAAGTTTTGTTTGACATGCAGGCGTTGACATTTCATATATGTGCGTGGTCATTTGTTTGCTCAGGTTGTTGTCATTGGTGCTGGTGCTCACCCTACCTGATATAGATGGGTATAGAAACTCTTACTAGATTGCAGAATGTTGCATCTGCATCGTCTCAGGTGATCCACTTGTCACACCATTACGACGCAGCCTCCAGGGCAGTCTACTTCTTCATGTTTACCATCAGGGGGACTCGTATTGGTGGCTTTAAGTGGTGTGTCGGAGGCGGCGCGTTGAAGGCACATTTCATCATCGAATCGATGAGGAGTCAGATCTGTGACCATTTTGACAGCAGCCGGCAGAACACCATCACGTTGGTCCAAACCAAGAGTCACGAAGCGTACCGCCCACAGGAGCATGCCAACACTATAGTTATTGGAAGTTGCAAAAACAAACATCATACAAACATCATTCTACACTGTGTTCCAACCATGTGCGACCATATATGCAACCGAGTGCACTGTATGCGCTGACAAGAGTTTTGCTGCGCAAGCCTGCGTTCACATGAAACATGTATAGATAGATGTATTTGTTATATATATATATAGATGAGTTGCCAACATGCAGGACATCGCGTTTGATTCCTCAGCAGTGGTCAATGTTCCCTCAAAGAAGCAGCGTGGCAAAAGCCTCATGAAGGTCAGACGATTTCATACCAAGATGCCATATGGGCTGATGGATTTGAACCAGAAGTTGCTACCATTTTCCCTTGAGTTCATGGCGGCTGAGGGTATGGGTTTTGAGGATTTTGTGGACATTGCCTATGTTAACCCATGAGTCTGTTGATTGCGCAAGCAGCTCTGAGAGTACAAGAGTATCTTCATTGTTTGGCATGTGAGATAGTTTGCCATGATAGGTGAATCATTGAACCAACTTCATGATTGCATTCCATTGACCTCTTTCTCAGAGTGTGTAGCAGCCGGATAGTTATATAGCCTTCTTGATCGATGCATTATACCTGAGCATGATCCACGAACCCAAAACAGCTTTGGCCGCAGGTGCAGGGAAGCAGGGATGGGTCGAGGGATGGGTTGAATTTTGGTTTGCAAAGCTGTGCAGTCTTGGAACCATTTTGCGATTCATGCCATCAGACTTATGGTAGGGTTGGCCCAAAATGAAACTCTCAATGTTCTATTCGGATATTCAGCGCATGTCTTTGTACATGCGTGGCCGCTCCGAGGTGCATGCACTTTCCAATGGAGGTGCGAGGGCGGAAGCAGTGAAACCAAATCAGGAGTTGTCAGTGTTGAGCAATGCAACTGCTGTTTCAAGTGGACAGTGAAAGTCACATGTGTTTCTCGCTTATAGTCACGCGGCGCCGCAATGCATGCTCTCAGTGTCTGATAAATGTTCCAAGTCGACTTGTTTTTGCAATGAACCTCGATGCTGAAAGACTCACTTTCCACGACATGCTCATTGATCACAGTTGCGTGCACGTTCTTACATGTAGGGTCCTTCACGCCCGCGGCAAATGTGCATACATGTGCCAAAACACATTTTGCCAGGCGTTTGGAGCCTTCTCTTCGAGCATCTGTGTGGAGGACTGTTTGGCTGTCTTTCAAGGGTGGGCCGTTTGGTGCGTCTTGGGATCGATTTGGTGTGATATGTTGGATCTGTTGTGATATGTATGTTGTCATTGAAATAGGATTTGGCGGTTCATGTCTTATCAAGCTGTGTACCTGCAATCACCCTTTAAGAGGTACCACATGTGAACGTATGTGAACCAGAATTGGCTACGAACCATGAATCCCGCTGGCTCAAGACGGACCTATGCACCACACGTGGTGCATAGCCAAGATAGCGTGGCACGCGGTGCATGGTATATGCGCAGATACGCGGGCACACACGCCAAGACATGTATCTACATGTACATATTTGATGCAATCTACATGTATCTACATTTCCATGTATCTACATTGACATGTTTGGATGCATGTATCTATATTTACATGTACCCGCGTTTCTGCATTGACATGAGAGGATGTAATCCACATGTATCTACATCTACAAGGATCTACATCTACATGCATCTACATTTACATGTAAAAGGCAGTGATGCACATAGTATGAGTGTGAATGTTCACTGTTTAGTTTTGCAACCTTAGCGTTGCAAAGCCTTCGCTGCCATTGCTGTCAAGTGGCGACGACGCGATGATTGCAAGCCAAAATCGCGCCCACATCCATACCGGCCATACCGGCCGGTCACGAAGGGTTCAGGACTGACTGAGTTTTGCTCATTCATGCATGTCACTCCGTGTGATTCTGCGACACGCTACATGATACGTATTGCATTCTTGGCGACGTGTTTTCTTGCATTGCATTCCTTGGTGTGACCAGCAAATCCAACTTCCTTTATTGCGTCGGCGAGGGTTTGAAACGTTCGTTTATGCATGCCACACGGGTCCCATCTATTTTTGTTCGTTGATTGACGCTCCATTGCCTTGCAAACAATCTTAACCATGCCCACTGCAGTTGCTTCCAGGAAAGGGCAAGCATGATGAGCATGCGGACCATGAGGAGTATGAGGACCATGCGGAGCTTCCAGAGCCAGAAGAAGAGGAAGAAGAACCACAACAATGGGAGGTGGAAAGCGAAGAGCCCGATCCTGACGGAGCAGATGCCTTTGGTGCTGAGGCTGAGGCGGAGGAGGAAGAGGATGTGACCTTGGAAGAGGAAGAAGCTGAGCCCTTCATCCATGAGGAGGAGGAGGAAGAAGCTCACGAGCGTGCGGATGAGGAGGTCAAGAAGCAGATCGTGCCACCGCCGCCGCCGAGGCCGACGCCCAAATGGGCCCACTGGCGGCCACGACCAAGGCCGCCGGCGCCGGTGCGCCGATGGGGGAGCTCATCTGCAGCGGGGCCGGCGCGGCGTCCGCCGCCACCGCCCCGGCCATGGGCTCCGGCTCCGCTGCCACCGCCGCCGCTCCCGCCGCCGGCGACGCCGCACCCCGACTTGGCGGCGCAGCAGCCGAAGGGGCGTCTTGGCACACTTCTGCAACATTGTTGTTGTTGGCACTGATGTCTTCACTTTGTTGACATTTGGTTTCACAATTAGTCACATGAAAGATATTCTTGAAGGCTGTTTTTGGGCACTTGGGATGAACATAATACGCCTACATGTGACATCATGCACTGTGTCTTTGTAACATATACAAAAGACATTGAACCATGTGCTTCGTCTGTCACTGTCGATCTGAGGCCGAGATCCGCAAGGCCACGCATCCGGGCAGGCCAGAAGGTGCAGCGCGCCAGACAGAACAAGGAGAGGGAGGAGCGGATCGATGACATGATTGCAGTCTGTGGGTCACTGGCCAGGATCATGGAGAGGAACATGCCGTGAGGTCTGTGAAATATAGTGTTGAACCTACCTTTATCAAAAAAGAGGTTGCAATGATGTTCGAGGCCACTGTGACCACACGGCTGCCAATCTAATTTTGTTTGGGGAGGATTGCAACATCCATGGTGAATC